AGGCTGAGCTGTCCCCCCTCCCCAGGCTGGGCTGTCCCCCCTCCCCAGGCTGAGCTCTCCCCCCTCCCCGGCTGGGCTGCCTTTCGCATCCCAATGAAGCCCCGTGGAGCTGCAATGCAGCCCTTTATGTAAGAGGCAGGACTGGCAGACGGGGCAGCTCTCGGGCTCCATGCCCACAACAGGCACACTCAGCCCACATACGTGTGAACTCAGCATGGCACAATGGACTGCAGACAACTGCATGTGCCCACACCCACCGCCAGATCCCCCCCTTCAAATGTGTGCTTCCAACACTTATCTGATCACGCAGACAGGCGTGATGGATGCCTCAGCACACGCGTGAGCACCTGCCAGTCCCACTTACGTGCATGTGAGCCCTAACCTGACCTAGGACCGGCCTCTTCCAGCCCCTCTGGGTGCACACTGCCTCAAATGTGGGGCCACATTATGGCCTTCAGCCCAGAAGCCCCCTTCTCACCCTGCCACCCCGACACCCTCCAGCCCGGAACCAAGGGATGAGAGTGGATGAGGCCCCGTGGCAGTGGTGGCTTTCATCCCAAGTTCTGGGAGTGGAGGGAAGAGGCTGTCCACCGGCTCACAGTGTGCCAGTCTGCGGGCCCGGTCCCTCCACCTGGCCAGGGCCAAGAGTGGCCAACAGCTGTCACTCACGCCCTCCCCTCCGGCGAGCTGCACGTGGCCCCTCCTGAGGAGTTGGTGGGACCTGTAGCTATAGAGGTTCAGGCAGGGCGGTGTGGACAACCCCCGGCACTCCCTGTGACTTCTTGCCTGGAGAGGGCTGGGAGAAGGCCCCTCCGGGGACGAGCCTGTCCCGGAAGCTGAGGTCGGCGCTCTGAGCCAGGCGTGGGTCTCTCTCCGGGCTGTCTCTTGTCCAGTGGGATTCCAGCAAAGGGAGCCATGCACCGTGGCGGCTCCTGGCTGAACTCCCTCTAGTGTTCACACAGACCTTTCCACTGCCCGCCTGCCTGTGTCTGCATCCCAACCTCCTCTCTCCCGCCCAGAAAGAGGGAGAGCACGTGGCAGGACCAACCATTCTCCCAGCCCCTACCAGGGTGGGCGCATGTGCATGGCTGCCACCCTCCCCAGGAGGTCCCCAGCCATAGCCCGGGGCGGCCCTGTGCGGGGCGTGAGGAAGACCGCTGGCCAGGGAGCCACCAGCTACCACGTCCCATGCGTTCCCCATAGATTTCTGCTCTACCTTTGCCCTGACCACAGGAGGTTTGCTGACAGGGCACAGTGGCGGGCTCATTCCTTCTCCTCACGGGTGCCCAGGCCTGTGCACACACGCGGCACCATCTGCACCCCACCCCTGGGCCACAGAGGGCCGAGTGCCAGCCAGTCCTCAGCAAGCTGACTCTGTCTCCTGTGTCCACAGGTCTACGCCATTCTAGTCAGTCATCCTCCCACCCCCAACGACCACTTCACCCCTACTCCCGTCTCCTACACAGCCGGCTTCTACCGCATCCCTGTGCTAGGGCTGACCACCCGGATGTCCATCTATTCAGACAAGGTAAGCCTGACCCACACTGGGACCCAGCCAGAAACCTGTATCCAACACAGCCCTAGACAGCCCAGGACAGCCCAAAACAGCCATGGACAGCCCAAGATAGCCCAGGACAGCCTCGGACAGCCCAGGACAGCCCAGGACAGCCTAGGACAGCCCAGAACAGCTCCAGACAGTCCAGGACAGCCTCAGACAGCCCCAGACAGCCCTGGACAGCCCCAGATAGCCCAGGACAACCCTGGACAGCCCAAGACAGCTTCGGACAGCTCAGGACAGCCCAGGACAGCCCAAGATAGCCCAGGACAGCCTCAGACAGCCCAGAACAGCCTCAGACATCCCAGGACAGCCCAAGACAGCCTCAGACAGCCCAGGACAGCCTCAGACAGCCTCAGACAGCCCAGGATAGCCCAAGACAGCCTCAGACAGCCCAGGACAGCCCAAGACAGCCCAGGACAGCCCAAGACAGCCTCGAACAGCCTAGGACATCCTCAGAAAGCCCAGGACAGCCCAAAACAGACTCAGACAGCTCAGAACAGCCCAGGACAACCTCAGACAGCCTAGGACAGCCCAGGACAACCCTGGACAGCCCAAGACAGCCCAGGACATCCTCGGAAAGCCCAGGACAGCCTAGGACAACTCCAGACAACCCCAGAACAGTCCAAAACAGCCTCAGACAATCCAGGACAGCCCAGGAAAGCCCAGAATAACCCCGGACAGCCCCGGACAGCCTAGGACAGCCCAGGACAGCCCAAGACAGCCTCGGACAGTCCAGGACAGCCTCGGATAGCCCAGGACAGCCCCAGACAGCCTCGGACAGCCCAGGACAGCCCAAGACAGCCTCGGACAGTCCAGGACAGCCTTGGATAGCCCAGGACAGCCCTAGACAGCCCTGGGCAGCCCACATCAGCCTAAGGCCACAACCAGGCACTGAGCCCAGATGGGGAGGAGTGAGGCCAGGGGCCCCCTGAGGAGCCTGTAGACACTACACAGGTGTGTGATGCACACGGGTGCATGCACTTGCGAGCACACACGCACACCGTGTGCCAGTTCACACCGTCAGAGACGTGCCCACGTGTTCTCACACCCACACACTTCCATACATACACACTGCACCTACACTGAAGCCCCCTGCATCCACGATCACACACTGGCACACACAGCGGCCTCCTCATCTTCCTGCACACGTGTACTCACTCAGGAAGATGGCCTAGTAGGTCACAGGCACCAATAACATTTGCTTGGGCCAGGAGAGGGAGGTTAGGTGGGCTGGGCGGGGGGAGGGCTGAGGGAAGGGGGGGCAGGCTTCCTGAACAGGAGCGCTTTACAAGGGTTCCAGGAGAGCTGGGAGAAGGACTCTAAGAGGAGGCAGGGCCTGGAGGAGGGACATACTTGGCTGGCAAGGAGAGCAGAGGTGCTCAGCATGGCCCACCACAGGGCATGCGCGGGAAGCAATGACAGCGGGATAGAGATGGTTGTGGGGGGCTGGGAAGGTGGCTCAGTGGTAGAGCGCTTGCCTTGCATGCCTGAGGCCCTGGGTTCGACTCCTCAGCACCACATAAGCAAAAAGAAAAAAAGCCGGAAGTGGCGCTGTGGCTCAAGTGGTAGAGCGCTAGCCTTGAGCTGAAGAGCTGAGGGACAGTGCCCAGGCCCAGAGTTTAGGACCCACAACCGGACCCAAACAAAAAACAAACAAACAAACAAAAAACCAAAAGAGATGGTTGCGGAGGGCACGCCGGCCCCTGAAGAGCCCTGGCAGCCCGCAGGCCGGGGCGGACCTCCACCCCACCAGGGCCCCCGAGCTGGCAGAGAGCGTGACGAGTGAATCTTCAGGAAACCTGGTGCTTGAGTAGCATGAGGACTTGCTGCAGCTTGTGGATCTCACTCCCTCTGCCTGGGAGCACCCCCAAGGGGGATACGTCTGGGCCCCACGTTGCTAGAAGGGCTAGAGACCAAGACCGGCACCTCTGTAGGCCCTGGGCTCCTGACAGCTGGGGCTCAGCGGCCACGGGCCAGCCAGGTGGTGCCTTGGCTGAGCTAGAGCACCCGGTAGGCTGCGCGGTGAACTGCCAGGTCTCCGCCTGTTCAAAATTCCTCCTGCCTAGAGGCCAGAGTCCCAAATAAAGCTGCCTTAAGACAGAACTGGACCCAGCCAGCCCCAAGAGAGTCTGAAAGGACAGACAGTGTTTCCCTTGGATGAGGTGGAAGGAAGGCCAGGCTCCCTGGGTCAGACGCAGGGGAACAGAACAAGGCCAGGCCAGCCAGCCAAGCTGAGGTGCAGAAAGCCAGCATACCCAAGCTCACAAACTGCATCCATGACATCACCCAGCCTCGAAGAAAATGCACACGTTGCCGGGCGCTGGTGGCTCACGCCTGTCATCCTAGCTACTCAGGAGGCTG